AGGAAGGGGGGGGGGCGGCGGCGGAGTTGTTAGAGGAGATTTCGAGGGATGAGAGGGGGGGGTTGGTGGTGGTGGCGGTGGAGAATCTGGTGTGTGAGAGCTTTGAGGTGGCGGTGCCGTTGAGGGTGTATGGGGCTGTGAGTAGCGGGTTAGAGAGGCTGGAGAGAGATGAGGCCGAGGGGGGGTTGGTGGTGTAGTGGGGGGAGTGTTGGTGGTGGAGGGATGGCCAAAAAGACGAGACAGAGACAGACAGACAGACCTGTGTGATTGACTACCTATCTACTATCTAGTTTAAAGGGCTACACACAGCGGAGCGTCATCACCTTACTTTTTCCTTTTGTTATGCCATGCCATGCCGTACCAGGGAGTCAGGGCCGAAACATTTGTGCGGGATGGATGAGATGGGTTCATTCAGACAATGCAAGCAAGGTATACAGACTTAGAGGCAAAAAGGGACAAAAAAACAAATCTTCTCAAATGACCACAGCCAGGCTCGATCTGGCGACCTTCAGTGTGTTAGACTGACGTGATGACCAACTACACCATGCGGCCTTGTTGATTTGTTGGAGGGGAGGAGTGGGTATTGTGGGTCATGATGATGGGGTTGGCGTCCAGGAGGTTGCAGGGGCGTTGGTTCGTGGACTTGGAGAGGGGACTGGTTCTGGTGCTTGTTTGGAAGTTGCGTGTGCAGTTGGGGGGGTTGGTGGAATGTTGGCTGGATGGGATGGGATGGGATAGTTTGTAGAGGATGGGAAGGTGAGCAAGGTGTTGTCATTGACGGTTGAGGATTGTTTTGATGGAGAAAGGGGCATGTCTTGGCTTGCTAGGGCTTCTGCTTGAGAAAAGTCAGAGCTGTCTAGCGAACAACTTGATCCTGCGGGTATGTGTAGTGCTTTCTGGCCCGATGAAACTGCAACCGCAATGGTCGGTCTTCTCTCCTCCTTGGCCTCTGGGGAGTCGCAGAAATATCACCTTATCGCGTGAGGAGGCCCTGTTGTCTTTCGCGTAGACAAAGTTTACAGACTCCTTCTCTCCAAGATGGGCTACCCCAGTTACATAGATCGCGGGGTAGCACATATATAACACTTGTACCACTGCCATAGGCTGTAACCCAATCTCAAGACAGAGAACAGTGAAAGTAGACTCGCAATTCTCTCCTCAGACAAGTTGGTTGATGGGCGTTACCCAGCCAACCACAAGCAACAAATGAACATAGCGCAAAGGAGGCTTCACAAAGACACAACCTGACAGTCAAGACATGCGAAACACCACTTGAGAGGAAGTCATGGGGAAATCAATGCGTTGTGCTATCTCAGGATCTGGCAACTTGCCGAGATGGTGTCAAATCCTCCTGTACCCGAGTCCTCATCCTCCTGACGTCGAGTCCGTATCTTCCTCCCTCCTAGCCCCACTTCGCTGCCCATACCATAAATGCCTTCCTTCCGACTTTGAGCCTGAGGCCTAGATATCAGACTCTTCAACAAAGTCTCGCAGCTTCTCAAGTGTCCTGAGGGCCGTCTTAGCCTCCGCAATCTCGTCGAGCAAGCGGGAGCCGGCTTTGTCGAGGTCGCCATCCAAACCTTCGTGCAACTCGCAGATGTACTGCTGTATGGCTTCCGCGCCATCAGAAAACTCGGTGTCGTCTGAGTTCTCTTGAATGAAGGCGATATCGTACTCGATGGCCATACGACCTGCCTCCTCTCTTGACGTCTCCAGGCGGGTGAACTTGGTCTGGGCGCGCAGCAGCAGTTTCTGCTGCTTCTTGACAACGAGGTCGATGTAGTCTTTCTTCATGGCCTGCAGAGTCTCAGCAGGCGAAGGCTCCGAGGGCTCCTCAGTCTTGCATCTCTTTCGCTTCTTCTGAACAGCGTGCTTGACCCTGACATTGAACAAGCAACCGACCATGCCATCGACCATGTCAGCCATCTCTGCGGAATAGTGAGCCATGACACGTTTCGCGCACCTATCAGTGTCGTCAAGCAGCTCAAGGCCGACCATGTCACAAGTTGACAACAAGGCAGCGATCCTGGGAGCGAGGTCGGCAGCGAACTTGGTACCGATCTCATCCGCGATCTAGGTAGCGATCTGGGAATCGTCCTCGCCATGGGCCTCTGACTCATGAGAGTCGGCGCTGGTGTCTTGAGTTGCCATCTTGTCGTGAGGGGATCGCTAGTGTTGTGTCAGTACGAGATGTCCAGTAACTAGGCCATGAAAGTATGCTCGCGAATCAAGTGATTGAAATGTGAGACCCCAGGGCTTCCTAGGGTGAGGTGGTTGCTTGGGGTCTGGGAAGAAGTCACGTTTGAGGGAGAGTGAAGCTTCTTACTTGTGACCAGGACTGCTCGGGGGTGCGAGAGACTGTTTTGACCAGCTGCTTGGCTGGAGATTGGGGGGGGGTTGGAGTTGGATAGCGGGAGGTTGGGAGGGCGCGAGAGTGGATGGTGAGGGTGGTAGTGAGGAAGAACGAAGAACGAAGAGTTTTGTTGGTGGAGGGAGGAATTTGGCAAATTTATAACCGCTGGCCAGCTCCCCTGGTCGGTTCAATTTGAATGGGGGTGGGCAAGAGTAGGAAAACATAATTCAATTTGCTGGAGAGATAGTTCGGGGTCTTCCATAGACAAACACTGCAGTATGGAGGCCCAGGCTCCCGATTGTTCTAGGTGGGGTATTGTCGGTCAGCGACTTATTGTTCGAGATAGAATCTGTCGGTAGGGCATCCATTATTCTTGAAACCTGCAAAAGGTACGTGGAGAGGGGAAAGGTACGAAATTCCCCCACGCCTGGCTCACCACCTTTCATCTGACTATAAACCCAAATACCGAGAGAACGCCACTGCGAAGCATGCTCCCCATGGCCTTCAACATCATCCCCGGAATCATGGGAAGTGAGCCTCAGCCCTAGGTAATCAGGCTCGGGTGCTCTCCTTCCACTGTTATGTTGCCCCTTCCACCAGCCCATCGCTCTTCCATCTTGAACCCCATCTCAACCGGCCAAGATGAAGTCCAGCTTGTTGCTTTTCTCTCTTCCCCCAGAACACCAGACCACGTTCGGTATCGGGCAGCGATATATTTTCGCATATTCTGTAAGTCTGTCGTCTCCATTCCGTTTCCAACACCCATGATGGATATCACTAACCCCAGCCCATCAGTAAATTCTTGTATATCCAGATACCTATAGACCACGACTCAGAGACAGACCATCCCAGCGCAGACCAGACCAGGGCCATGTCCCAGAGCACATGTCTCTCTTCCTCTCCGTAGACATAATGCCGACTTGAGCTGATCCAGTCTTTCCAGAACCTCCCCAACACCGTCATGGACACCATCCCCAGCCCTCTACCCCCAAAGCCTCGGCAAGATTCCAACCACCCAACCATCCAGCCCGCCCCATCCCCGAGGGAAACCCCCAGCGACCCCTTCCCCGACATCAGCTCCAACGCCACCGCCTACGACGCCGACGACGAATCCACCTACCCCCTCTACCCCACCAACAACACCACCTCAGCAACCTCCTCCCCCGTCATCCTTCCCGCCCGACCCAACCGCCTCTCGGCCAACATCGAACCCAACCTCCTCACCCGCTTCACCACCACCGCCCCCCCCATCTTCCTCGCAGACGATCTCACCTCCTCAGCCACGCTCATCGACCTCGACGCCTCGCCTCCTTTACCCTCCCCCTCCCCCGGCGTCATCCCCTTACCCTTCCCCCCCGCCCCCGCCCCTCCACCACCCCCCCGTCTCCTTCCACCCCCCTCCCCCTCCGCGGGCCCCGCCGCCCTCGACCTCGGCACGGGGTGCACCCACTCCCGTCTAAACTTCGTAGCCCCAACGGTCTTCTCCACTCCCTCCGCCGAGGCCAACGACGGGACTGGCAACTGGACTAAGACGGATTTCCGAGTCCCGCGTCTTATGCCGCGGCCGTGGTGGCGGCCGCCGGCGAGGGATCGCGCCTCAAACAGGCCGGGGGGGGTTGTGGTGAAGGAGGAGGTGCAGAGGGAGTGGGACTTACTGTTGGAGGAGATTTGGGAGGGAGGAGGGGTGTGGTTTTGGAGGCTGGAGGTGGAGGAGGCGCGGAGGGTGGTGGTTTGGTTGCTGGGGGTTGAGAGGGGGGGGTGGATGCTGATGAGGAGGGGTGGGAGAGGTAGAGGGAGATGGGGGGGTGAGGAGGGGGGATGGGTTGTAGGGGTGGTTGGAGATGGGATGGGATGGGGTGGGTGGGTTGGATTCAGCGTAGGGGACATTGTGTAGCGATCAGCGTAGGGGGTACTATATAGCGAGTGAAATGGTATAGGTGATTTAGATTCAACGAGAAGCGTACCATATAGCGAGCGGAATTGTTAAAAAATATTGCCTTGACTTGAATTCCCTCCGGGGGGGGGGTCGTGAGAAATGCTCCAGCGACCGGCCGTTCAGGGGTGTAAACAAACCACCGACCCCACTCAAAATCACTTGCATCATATTCAAACCACCACCATCTGGGATTCCCTTCGATGACGGCACCATCCCTTGTGGGAAGTAAAACCTTGAGCAGAAAAAAAGAGGGAAAAAAGCACACACCGCCCTACCAATATATAATAGAGACGCCCAACCCCTCAAGCAAAAAAGAAAACCGCACCATCAACAAGACGACAAAACGCATCATCCAACGCCCCACGCGGGTCTCGAACCCGCAACCTTGGGATTAAAAGTCCCACGCTCTACCGATTGAGCTAGCCGGGCTTTGTGTATGTTGGATGCCGGATTTGTCTTGGTTTCGGGCGTCATTACGTGCGTTGCGTTGCCTTGGGTTCCATGGCAAGGCAAGTTACGTTGATGCCGGTGCATGCCGTCTGTGGTGATATTTGCTGTGGCGACTGACACCGGTACGAGGGGTGGCAAATGCATCAGCGAGAGAAGAAAGCCTATACCGAGGATGGATGAGACGCCGTCATTGCTACTATTCTGTTGGTGGCTGGGGAAAAGAAGCAAAAAAGAACTCGGAACAACCGCAGGCGGGAATTGAGCCCGACGTGGGGGTCGAACCCACAACCTTGAGATGGTCTGTACATTTTGGAGGGCAGAGTACCCATGGTATATAAGAGTCTCACGCTCTACCGATTGAGCTAGCCGGGCTTTGTTGCAAGAGTCCGGATCAATTGTTGGACGTGGGGGCGGGTATGGGAGCATATCGATCCCAGGCGGGTACATGCATCTCACTTGGCCATCTCACTGCCAACGTCGCCATCACACAGCATGGCTCGAGAATAACAAGTTAAGGCTGATGACAGTCTTATATTGATTGCCCTTCTGCACCGCGACAGAACTGCTCCTAACCACTGCACCTACGCAAATGAAAATTCCGCCCAGCCCAATGACGCCTTTTGCTCCGCTCTGCCAACCAAGCAGCCAAATAGACCGATATCCACCCCTTGAATCTAAGGAAAAGAGGCTGTCTGCCTCGCCGTTGGAACCCCATCCCGCTGTCAAAACAAAAGAGCCCCGCGCCCCAGTAGCAAAGCCTAGGCAAAACCTCCCTGCCACCCCCCTCCCCCAAAAGTAATACAGTCCGCGAAGCCACGTAAGTCAGAATGGGTATCTCTCCGGTTGTGTGTTCCTCCCTCCCCTGCCCCCTCCAGCGTACAGCCTTGTCCTCCTCATCTCGACACCGACGAGCAACCCCTCTTAGATCGATTCCGGCTCGGTGCACAAGGCTGGCGAGGTGGAGCTCGCGCTGGAACTCTCCCCCGCAGTCCTCGGCCGCTCGCGGATCAGCGACTCCTTTTCCTCCTCGCTCAGCCTCAGCCGGAGCTTCTCATCCAGCATGCTGACTAGCCGCTCGCTATACTGATCCAAGAGACCGCTCAGGACTGTCTCGCTGACAGCCTTGGGACGCTCCGCTTCCGCCCTGTTACTGCGGCTTCGGATGGCCCTCTCTCCGAGCGCCGCAGCCGTGAGCCGCAGCTCCGCGTCCAGCTGGGCCAACACGTCGGCGTCGATGGCATCTGTAGACATCAACTTCTTCCGGTACGTCCGGAGCTGGCGACATGTCTGCTCCGTCGCCATGCTGAGACTTCCAAACCCGTAGCTGCCTCGTGAGTTCCCGCTCGGCTTCTTCCTCGACGAGATAGTCGACGAGGGCGTCTTCAAGACGGGAAGGGAAGGCCGCCGAAACATCCTCGCTCGGGTTTTTGGGCTTTCCGGCGGCGGACTTCCTGGGGCGCTGTTGCCCCCCGACGAGACACGCCGACAGGGCGTGCCCTGTCGCTCTCGTATGGTGCTCGTTGGGCTGATCTGCTTCTCGGCCGCGATCGGCGTCCGCGTCGACGACGACGCCGCAAGCTGAAATTTAGACGGCCGTCTCTGCATGGGTCGGGGCGGGGAGCGTCTCCCGTGGTTGGAACTGGGCCGCTGGAACTCGGCCAGCTCGGCTCTCGAGAGCACCCTTCTCAGCGGTGGCCGGTTGAAGGCGGGGCTGCTGACTTTCTCCGGAGAGGGATCGCGGAACCTAGAAACGGTCACCGGGTCCAGAAGATCCAGAGCCCAGATCATGATGGTGCCATCCTCGCCCACGCTGACCACCCTGCGCCCAGCCTCGTCCGAGTCCATCATGGCCACGCCGTTTATGGCTTCCGTGTGGCCCCATTCCCGGTCCAGAAAGGCACCCGTGAGCGCATCGTAAATCCGGATGGACTTGTCCGTATTGGATAAGCCCAGAAGAAAAGAAAGCCCCCCGTTTCCGAACTGACCATAGATAAGAGACTCCAGTACGGCAGACTCGAGACCCCCTTCGTCGTTGCACTTGAAGGACGTGACGAGCCGGCCAGAAGAGCACTCGAATTGGCAGACGGAACGATCCAAAAGAGAAACAAAGACGAATTTATCGTCTGGACTCATCACCATGGACGATGGCGACGCCCTCAGCGACAAGACCTTGTATGGAATGGCCGCGATCGCATCGGGCTCTCCGTCCTTGGTGACGAGGTCGTGGATTTGCAGAGTCCGGTCGAGGGAGCACGTCAGGATCTTGTCGTCGGAGGGGATGAGGACCTGGACGACCTTTGCGCCAAACTCTAGCGTCTGGAAATGCTCAAAGTTGCCTGTCGATGATTTGTGGAAGAGTTGAGCCGTGCGGTCCCTACCGCAGGAGGCCACCAGGACTTTCGTCTTGTTTTCGTAGATGGTGATGTCGGCGCAGTCTGTGGCGTGCGCCTTCGTCTCCATCACACACTGCTTGGTGGCCGTGTCGATGATCCGGAGCATTCCGAGCTTGTCGCCTGCCACGAAGAGCCGCCCATCCGCAGTGGCCCTCACCACTACCACTTGGTTGATGGTGTCCGAGTCGCTGGCAGGATCCACCTGCTCCATGGGGACATCGAAGCAAGACTTGATCATCCCTTCTGTATCCCAGACGTTGACCTTTCCAGATCCAGACCAGGTGAAGAAGGCGGCGCCCAGTGTGTTCTGCTCCGATAGTCGCTGAATACCGACAATTTGGTCTCCAGGGCCTGGAATCGGAATGTGGTTCCTGTCGCTCTCTGAACTCCCCGGGATGTGATTGGGGCTCCAGATGTCGATGGAGCGCTTGGTATCGATAGTGACCAGATTCTCCGCCAGAAACCCCATGGCCATGAGTCCGTTGGCGGACTGGGCCGCGTGGACGTCCAAGGTGGGGAAACCGTTCAAGATTCCCTCCAGGCCGAGGACAGCAAACTGGCCGTTCTTGCCGCTGATGTAAATGTCTTGGCCCCTGCTGCACACGCAGCTGATGGGAAACCCAATGTCCAATATCTTGGTCAGCTTCATCTGCCGGTTGGTGTCGTCGAGCAAGCACACGCTGCCCGTTTCTGAGCAGATGATGGCCTTCTCGTCGCCAATGGGGATGGCGCAGCTAAACGTCGCCTCCAGCATGGACCCGAGCAAGATGTTCCTGCCGGCGAGGGGCTTCTGGGCTGGCTGAATGACAGGAAAAGACCCATCGCCGGCAAACTTTTGCTTGGTCGGGGAAGGGGTCATGGGCTCCTCCACCCTCCACACCTTGACGTGGCGAACACCCAGGGTAATGAGGCTGTTTCCCATCCACACCATACCCTTGACGTACGAGGTGCATCGGTTTTGCTGGAAGAGTTTGGCGGCACCGGTGCGGGGGTCGATCTTCCACAAATAAAGGAAGCCGTCGTTCGCCGCGCCGAGCGATGCCAGGTACCTCGTGTCCTGGGACCAGGCCACGGCCTTGACGCCATGCATGTGCTCGCTGATGGACACGAGAGGGGTGTCGGAGGATGATTCTTGGAGGTTAAAGATGAGCACGCGCGGGGCATAGCCCGTCTCGCCCACGGCGAGATATCGTCCATCCCGGCTCAGCGCCAGACATGTTGCCGCCTTGATCCGCTCTCGGCTTGTCCACGTTCTCGAGCTCGGGGAGTCGGACCAGTCGAGGCCGCCGTAGAGCGAGTCCCGCGGAGAGGCGGCGGCCCGGTTTCTGCTGTCGTTAGCTTTGGGCGTAGAATTGGGCGTCGACGAGGCTTGCGACACGGGCGTGACGGCGAAGACGGGGATGGCGGATGGGCGTGCTCGGAAGAAGCGCTGCGAGTAGTGCTCGCCCGAGACATCGACCACGACGACGGCCCCTCCGGCGATGTAGGCGAACGACGAGTGTACGGCGTCGAAGCCAGTAGGCGATGTGCACGTCGTTCCGACAACGCGGCGGAGGGACAGGCACGTGTCGAAGACCTGGCGGGCCCTGATTGGCGACCTCGACGGGCGGGTCAGGAACGGCGAATTGGCCGGCGTGAGCTTAAGCCGGTTCGAAGGAGTGGATGCCATGTCTCCTCATAGCCATTGGCCGGCGAGAGGGGGACAGCTGCGAGACGAAGTTGGGGGTAGGCTAGAAATGGAACGATGGCATCGGTTGGTCGTTGTTCGAACGGTGTCGGTGTCGGTGTCGGTGTCGGTGAAGTCGGTGAATGGGGGGAAGTGCCTGTTCGGTCAAAGACCCGGGCGGTCTGGACGATGGAAGGAGAGCCCGACGAGGGAAAGGTCGAAAAGTCGAGAGACGAAGGCGCCGAGCGCATGGAAATGCGAAATGCGCAAGTCGGATGGAGAAAAATAGAGGGGAGGATGTGTGTGGGTTGAAAGCTGCAAGCCAAACAAAGTTAGTTGAGCTCCGTTCCACTCCATTTCTCCAGGTTTCCCCCGACAACTGCTGAGCGTCATGCCCGGTGATGTATGTCCTGGATCCTGGACTGGAGTGCTAAAGCTTACAGTGACGAGAACAGACACTCAACAAGACAAGTCAATTGCCTCGAGGGGTCGCTCAGTTAGATGCCCAAGGAGAGGGAGGGGGAGCACATTCGGACGAACGCTGAAGAGAAGGCGGCGATAGCACGTCTCCAGCTAGAAGGAGGGAAAAGTCAGTGAAGGGGGGAAAGGGTGCAGCAGCAAGCAACAGCCCGATGGTAACGACGGGAAGAAGCTGCAGCAGTGTGGTGTGCTGCCGACTCGGACGTGCAGAGGGTTGCGCGCCAGCCAAAGCCCAAGGGTTGGGACCCGGTCAGGTACCGGGGTGTATTTGTTTTTCGACAGGGGTAGCTTGGGTTGACCGGGGAAGGCCATGCTGTGGCTCGAGCTTGAAATTTCGGGCTCCTGAGTGGATGACCATGGCAGCGGAGCCTGCCGGATCAGGAAAGGCTCGAGGTCTTGGCCAATCACTACCGGAGCCCTAATCGGAAAAAACCTTTTCAGTTCCCGCTGTTGACTTGTTTACTTTAACTCGGTATTTCAGCATCTTTGTATCTGCATGTATTTCGAGTCGCGCTGTCATTTGCACATTTGCTGTTCCGCATCTTCAATGTGCCCAAGTCCGGCCCTAATGTGACGACCGGAAGAGGCGCACTCGGAACATCAATCCCACCCCCACGATGTCATCACTGGTCTGCCGTTTGTGACAGCCCGTGGTCAGTGCATTAGCGGGCGCCTTCTGCATTGTCCGAGATGAGATGTCCCTGCGGCCCCTGTCAAACTCAGAGGATCAACTGCACTCCAGAAAGCCTTTTGTTTCATTTTTGTTGTGTGGGAGTCGGGGCTCGGGTCCGACGCATCACCAGTCTGGGGATTTGAAAGTGGTTGCATGTATG